TTGATTAACGGGATCACATCATTAGGAGAATGATGTGATTGACATGACCCATTCCATTAGCTTAGCACCCGATCGTTTAGTATGTTGCTATTGCTTTCTTCATGACTTATACATGTTCCTATGACTATGAGATTATGCAACTCCCTTTTACCGGAGGAACACTTTGTGTGCTACCAAACATCACAACGTAACTGGGTGATTATAAAGGTGCTCTACAGGTGTCTCCGAAGGTACATGTTGGGTTGGCGTATTTTGAGATTAGGATTTGTCACTCTGATTGTCGGAGAGGTATCTCTGGGCCCTCTCGGTAATGCACATCACTTAAGCCTTGCAAGCAATGCAACTAATAAGTTAGTTGCAAGATGATGTATTACAGAATGCGTAAAGAGACTTGCCGGTAACGAGATTGAACTAGGTATTGAGATACCGACGATCGAATCTCGGGCAAGTAACATACCGATGACAAAGGGAACAAACATATGTTGTTATGCGGTCTGACCGATAAAGATCTTCGTAGAATATGTAGGAGCCAATATGAGCATCTAGGTTCCGCTATTGGTTATTGACCGGAGACGTGTCTCGGTCATGTTTACATTGTTCTCGAACCCGTAGGGTCCGCACGCTTAACGTTACGATGACAGTTTCATTATGAGTTTATATATTTTGATGTACCGAAGGTTGTTCGGAGTCCCGGATGTGATCACGGACTTGACGAGGAGTCTCGAAATGGTCGAGACATAAAGATCGATATATTGGATGACTATATTTGGACATCGGAAAGGTTTCGGGTGAGATTGGGACAATACCGGATCACCGGGAGGTTATTGGAACCCCCGGGAGGTATATGGGCCTTATTGGGCCTTAGTGGAAAGGAGGGGAAAGGAGCAAGGGAGGGGGCGCCCCCCCAAGCCCAATCCGAATTGGGAGGGGGCCCGGCCCCCCTTTCCTTCCTCCCTCCTTCCTCTTCCTTCCCTCTCCTACTCCTAATAGGAAAAAGGGGAGTCCTACTCCCTATGGGAGTTGGACTCCCCCTTAGGGCGCGCCACCCTCCTTGGCCGCCCCCCTCCTCCACTCCTTTATATACGGGGGCAGAGGGGCACCCCATAGACAACAGTTGATCATTGATATCTTAGCCGTGTGCGGTGCCCCTCTCCACCATAGTCCTCGATAATATTGTAGCGGTGCTTAGGCGAAGCCCTGCGACGGTAAAACATCAAGATCGTCACCACGCCATCGTGCTGACTGAACTCATCCCTGACACTTTGCTGGATCAGAGTCCGGGGATCGTCATCGAGCTGAACGTGTGCTAAAACTCGGAGGAGCCGTAGTTTCAGTGCTTGATCGGTCGGGCCGTGAAGACGTACGACTACATCAACCGCGTTGTGCTAAAGCTTCCGCTTCCGGTCTACGAGGGTACGTAGACAACACTCTCCCCTCTCGTTGCTATGCATCACCATGATCTTGCGTGTGCGTAGGATTTTTTTTGATATTACTACGTTACCCAACAGGTTGAAGCTTTTTCATTGCCGTTTGAAGCTTTTTCCACCATTGAAGCTTTTTCCTGCGGTGGAAGATTTTTTCTTATGCCACTCTTGAAACTTGTCCTCTAGCTGGATGAAGCTTTTCCACAAACGGTTGAACCATTTTCTTCCTGGGTGGAAGCTAGACACTTGACTAGTTCCAGCAAAAAACGATGCCTGCTGTAGCAAAAAACAATGCCGGATGTAGCAAAATCTGTTGGTCCAGCAAAAAATAGATGCCGTTGTAGCAAAAAAGCCCGCTAGATGCAGCTCCGCTGCATGTCACAGCTTGTTGTAGCATTTGTCACCGCATCTGTTGTAGCAAAAAACGAGGCTGTTGCAACAAAAATGCCATCCTTGTTGTCGCCGGTCACACCTCTATCGTAAAAAAGCACCATGGCCGCATGAATGGATGTAGCAAAACACACAGATGATAGTAGCAAAACATTGACACGGTTGTAGCTTTTCTCTCAATGGTTTGAAGCTTTTCCCCTCTACAGTGGAAGCTTTTCTGTAAACGATTGAAACTTATTTCGCTTTGAGCAGCACCTGGGTGAAATCTTCCTCTATCGTTCGGTTGCAGCAAAATCACAGAGAGACGCCATGGCCGTCGTCGAGGAAGATTTGTCAATCTCTGGTTGAAGCTTTTTCATCCGCAGGTTGAAGCTTTTTGTCAAATGGTTGTAACTTTTCCTGTATTTTGTTGTCTGGTTGAAGCTTTTTTATCTACTGGATGTAGCTTTTTGTGTTCATGGTTGTAGCACGGGAAAACGCCGTTTGCAACTCTCCCAGTACCGCAGTTGCAGCTCCTCCCCGTGGCCATGATTGTAGCACGGGCACCTCGGTCCTCCCGGCCGTTTTGCCTGTCGCCGGTTGCAACAAAAGGGGAAGAGAGGAGGAGGAAAAGGGAAGAGAGGGAGAAGGAAGAAAAATGAGGTGGGAATGCGAGCGGGGCTGCAACCTCTATATCCATGGCCGACGGCGAGCTGCTCCACACGCTATAATGGAGGAGGCGAGATGGGATCAGGCGGAGGCGGAAGGAAGAAGAAGCAAAGAAAATAAAATGTTTGGGTCAACTAAGCGCGCGTGCCAGCAATGTCCCGCACGTGAAAAAAGGAAGCGACCGGCCGAGCGCTTCGGCTGGCGCACCGTCCCCGAACACTTTCCTTAACGCAATCAGTTTCCCCCCGCAAAAAGATAAAAAATAATGGTGCGCAATGTCCACAGACTAAGCACTTGTCAACATTTCATTTTCAATCCCGCGTCCTCTGCCGCATAATCAGTTACGCATTTTGGATTGGATCAACATCTCACAGGGCAAGAAGACATCACCTCATGTGTTGGTGTGTTGACCTCGGATCACGAGATCAACATCAAGTTTTGACCCTGAAAGCTGGCATGCTTGTACAGTTGTACCATCTCCTCTACATGTACTATGTGTTTGTAAATAATGGTTTGGCGTCCACCTAAGAGAGGCGATGCTACGACTGCGTTCGTTTGCGTGCAAGTAACCACTCCCAGGAAAGATGGCGACAGATTCAACGATAGAGACGTCTCTGGTGCACGTACTTCTGTTAGGTGCACAAGCAAGACTATATATATGTGCCAGGTGGTTGTGTTTATGTGCACGAAATGGAATTCATCGATTTATAATAGGTCTAAGTACTAGTATGGTCAACTCTTGATGACTGACCGACAATGGTTTCGTTGTCGATAACTGACTGAGCTTTCTCAGTACATTTTTTGACATGAGGTGAATTTTATTGGCTTCAAATAAAGCATTAAAATAATACAAATACAATGAGTGCATATTCCGTCTCTGCATAGTTAGTTAGAATGCACACAACCAATACAAACACACGCATACAAAAAATATGCCCGTAAATAACAAAGTCATATGAGACCAAAGCTATGTATAAACGTAGTTGGCGGTGGTATAATTCTCTGTGACGATAGAGGCGAGATTATCTATAGCGCATGCAGGAAGATCCGTACTTGTGATAGTGCTTTGAAGGCGGAACTAGCAGCCTATAGAGAAGGGATATACTTGGCCTTGCACCGACAGACTTGCCAATCATAGTTGAGCTGGATAGTGCGGAGGTGGTGGTGATGCTCACAGTAACCACTACAGGTACATCGAGGCACTGCCCACTCATTGAGGAGATCCACAGGTTGGTAGATCGTGATGCTAGGGAGATTTTATTTACTCACTGTAGTAGCTCGCAAAATAATGTTAGCCATGAGCTGGTCGCGTATGGACGTTGTACCCCTCAAACTGCAGTTTGGCTAAATGTCGCAATGGACTTTGTTGTAAACTTGGTTATGACTGAGAAGCTTCCTTAAGTAATGAGAATCTCCATTTCTCCCGGGAAAAAACTATGTATAGGCGAGTAAAAAAGAAAAAAAATCCAAAGCAATCCGATCCAGGATCGGTAAACTACAACAATGATCATATCCACACCAACCATCTCATGACACCACACAGACGACAGGGTGGTTTAACAACAACACCTTTAGGAAGGGATCGGCACACAAACGTACCTTTGCCGGATCCCTCCAGTGCATGTTGCTTTGCTTTTATTACTTAGGATCACCAATAACAGTTGTTTTGATGGCGGTATTGTTCAATCAAGATAAGAAACAAAGCGATTAATTCCTGACTAAAATTCAAATAATGTGTGGGAGCAGGTGATTACCAAGCACTATGGTGCTGATAACTTGTTGTAATAACCATGCTACTACGCAATCTATCAAGAACAAAAAAAGGGTAAGCACAAAGAAGCGTATGGATGTAGCTCAACACTGCTCGGCTTTATTGATCAATGATACTCATGGATAGCCCCAGCGTGTCTGCGCGTGCCCCATCTTTCGTGTTTACCTGTAACCATTATTGAGAATGCATCTACTTGGTAGCGAGCAACTACTACCTTTATTCTATAATGTAAGACGTTTTTTTGACACTAGAGTACATCATAACAACTACTTATATCCCTGCTCTTCCATCTATGCTGCTTAATCCGTTAAAGGTCGACGTCTTAATTTTCCGGCATGCCAAATGATTTCCCGCCACGGAACAAGTTTGCATCGCTTGGTTTCAGTAAACAAATTACTTGTCAGGCAAAAGCAAGTTTCATGTGCATGTAAACTGTGTCTAGAAATAACATGCGTGCCCAATCATTGATGCTTTGTCATTAACATCATGGATCTATATATCAGCAACGAGAGAAAGGTTCCCGCAAAAAAAAAGCAACGAGAGAAAGGAGCACCTCTGTATTCCATTCATTAAACAGTGAAAACATCACCAGCACATTATGACATGAATCCGACAAAAAACATATCTTGTCACGATTCAGAAAGGAAATGAAAATTCACAGCTCGCAACCATGCATGCATCATATTGCATGTCATTTATTCTACTCCATGATGGGAGTATATATCATTACATATTAACTTCTCATATGCCCAGATAAAAGAGATTATTTAGTAGTCGGTGTTCCCCCAGAACTGAGATTGGAGCCAGTGAATGAGATCCTTCTCCACCTGAAATGCCGTGGCTAAGACATCATCTGAAATCGGTGGCTTTGATCCAAACACTGCATTGGCAATAGAAATAACTCCAGGGTTTTGGCTGCTGAGCGAGGACAACGCGGCTGCTGGCTTGTCATGCGCTAGGTTCATTTGGAAGTGGATCATTGCTTTTGGGAATACGAATACATCGCCCTTCTTAACTATCTTGGAGAAGAGCCTGTTTGGGTTGGATGTGACAAATCCAAGGTAGAGTGTCCCCTCGAGCACTGTGAGGAGCTCAGTGGCACGAGGGTGTATGTGTGGTGTGTTCACACCTAACGGTCCATAGTCGATGCGAGCCAGCGAGATGCCGAGGGTGTTGAGGCCGGGGAAATTTATGACATTGATGTTGGTGACGTTAGACCTGACCTTGCTGGCCTTAGTATCCCTAGGCTGATCGAGCATGGCTGCGTTGAAGAAGTCTTCCGGGGTTGCGGCCATTGGGTCCTTGCAAGCAAATCCATTTACTCGCACTGCATGCATAGAGAAAGTAACATAAAGTTTAGAAAGTAAGAAATGTGTGTGGCTTAAACATATACTCCCCCCATTCCACAATGTAGTTCTTTCTCTATCCACGTGCTTCAACTTTGATCGTATATTTAACTATCAAGACCGATTGCGGCGGGAGCAAAAATTATATCAGTGAATTCATATTGAAAGAAGTTTTCAATTATATAACTTTTTCTCCCGCCGCAGTTGGTCTCGTTGATTAAATTTATGGTCAAAGTTGGACCTCGAAAAACACGGACGCACTATATTTTGAAATGGAGGGAGTAGTAATAATAGTTTTATAACTATTATCAGCATGTAGTAACCTTCAATGTGTGATCAATGCTAGGCTATCACACCATTAACTACAACATCACTACAATTAAGAACACACATGTATATATATGCGCACACAATACGTCATGCATACCAGGCGCCTTCATGTCGGCGATGCAGAAGTCTTGAAGAGGGCTAGGATCGTAGGCAGTGACCTGCCATGAGGCCAGGGCAAGGAGGGTAGCAAGGAGGAACAATGAGGAAGAGGAAGCCATTGTGAGTTGCTTTGCCAATTGAGGCATGGATGGGTGTGCTTAAATAGCCGAAGATTGACAGAGCTGGCGCAAGAAATGGTGTGGTGATATGCATGAAATTGCATGTGAGCAAATAGCACAAGTCATGTACGAGAGGAACTTATCAACCAATTGCAATAGTCCCCGCTGGCTGCTAGAACTTAATTGATGGTCCAACTTCTTAAGTTTCCATTAAAAAATGTAATACATATCTTCTCCGCTAAGTAATTTACATGACACGTGAGCATGTGCTTGACCGACATTACATATCTTGGACGACACAGACTAGAAGAGCAGCTTTTTTTTCCAACCATGAAAGAAAACTGCATGTGATCATCATAGAAGAAGGAAGGAGTACAAACGAAAGAATATCAGAAGGGTGCCTTCTAGGCAAAACACGACACATGTAAATGATTCTTCTCTAATTCATATAGTTGTTTTTTTTAGAAAAGGAGGATGTACCCCCGGCCTCTACACATGTAAATGATCCTTCTCTAATTTATATAGTTGTTTTTTAGAAAAGGAGGATGTACCCCTGGTCTCTGCATCTGGATGATGCCTGCAGTTATATTATTAATTATTCACAAAGACCATACAAAATGATACATCAATAAGCCAAAAGCCACCATCTTGGTAACGTTGTTGCTACTCCTAACCTGTTGATGAAGGCCTGCCGAATATGTCCGGGTCTAATACCAAACAGACATCGCACTAAAGACTAACATCTAAAGCCGGGTGTGTTGAGGAACGTAGTAATTTCAAAAAAAAAATCCTACGCACACGCAAGATCATGGTGATGCATAGCAACGAGAGGGGAGAGTGTTGTCCACGTACCCTCGTAGACCGAAAGCGGAAGCGTTAGCACAACACGGTTGATGTAGTCGTACGTCTTCACGATCCGACTGATCAAGTACCGAACGCACGGCACCTCCGAGTTCAGCACACGTTCAGCCCGATGACGTCCCTCGAACTCCGATCCAGCCGAGTGTTGAGGGAGAGTTTCGTCAGCACGACGGTGTGGTGACGATGATGATGTTCTACCGACGCAGGGCTTCGCCTAAGCACCGCTATAGTATTATCGAGGTGGACTATGGTGGAGAGGGGCACCACACACGGTTAAAAGATCAACTGATCAATTGTTGTGTCTCTAG